GTGTGCTCAGCAGAGGAGGCAGAGTGGAGGTGATCTGGGGCGGGGAGTGGTTCCCCTGTGCGCCCTCCCGTTACTGCGGGCAGCCCTCCCTCCGCCCCAGCTCACCTCCACTCCACCTCCTCGCCTGAGCGGGCTTTTAGGCGCCCTCAACCACTAGGCGCCCTAGGCGGCCGCCTAGTTTGCCTAAGTGGTTGCACCGGCCCTGCCTGTTCCCTTTGAAGTCAAGGGCAAAACTCCCCCCGATTGCAGTAGCTTAGGCTCAGGCCCCCGCTGACTGGTGCAGAACAGGGTCTGCAGTTGCAGGCGTGTCTCGGGAGCACCAGGGCAGAGGCGCCGGAACAGCATGCCAGCACTTTTGCCGCATAGAGGAGGCCATTTGGCTCTCAAAATGGCGCCCACAGCATGCGTGCGAGGTCAGACCGGCGGGGCCATTCCAGTTGTGTACGGCCCACTCAGGACCACAGCAGGCTGCTCACTAATGACTTTAGACTCTCGGGCCTGCACAGTTTTTTAGACCGGTTTAACTATTTCTATTTGCAGTGTGACTTTCTACTGAAATAGTGAAATCGGTGCAATCCCGAGGGTGGGCGCAGTTCTATCGGGATAAAGGTGCTTTGCATCAGTGTAGGCTATTCCCGTTCCCTACGGGAATAAAGCACCTTTGCACCAATACACGCCCACCCACACAGGTTTATCTCTTTAACTACACCGGGTCTCGTTAAAGAGCTACAGTGTTTGTGTGTAGGCAAGGCCTGGGTAAAACATAAGATCACAGAAATGTGGGCCTGGAAGGGATCTCAGGAAGTCATCAAGTTCAGCCCTCTGGACCAGAATCAAACCTAGGGAGCTAAGTTGGTTGGGAAATAATTAACTTTCCCTGTCAAACATTTTCAACAGAAACAGAGGGGAAAAATCCTCTGTGTTGCAATTTTTCAGATTTTCACTGAAAACCACAATGTTTCTGTGTCTGGGTTTTCCTGTTTTTCAGTGAAAACCCAACTGTTTTCAAGAGAAATAGACTTTATTTTGTGAAAATCTCAGTTTTGTCAAAGAAGCTGTTTTCCTTCTGGAAAGCTTTTTGGATTGACATTTTCCCACCAACTCTCCCAGGAAGAAATGGTGTACGGCACGCCTCCTCCTGCTCTCTGCACTGTCTCCTCTCCTCCTTCATTCTTGCTTGGTTTTGCAGAAACTATCTGATGTTTCCAGCGGCGACTCCACATCCCTAGAAACCCGTTTCTTGAGCATTTTGTGCACCCGGAGTTACCCCCATCTCCGCAGAGGTAGGAGCATGTTAATCACCAGCATCTGGCCCTATGACCAGTGGTGAATTCTTTGATCTGACCTGTGGTGCCCACATTGCCGTTTCCTGGAAGAGTGAGCTTGTGACGGCCTCACCCATAGTGATGCAGCCCTTGATAAGAGGGTGGAAATTTTCCTTTCGCCCGAGGGAAGGAGTGGCAGACCCTGCACCTCTGGGTCTCTGGGTTCTGGTTGCCAACTGCGCCTGCCTTAGGAAATACCCATGTGCTGTTTTGTAACCGTTCCTTCTGGCACCTCCTTAACCTTTCCTAACACGGACCAGAGGGCCTGATCTTCAGGTCCTAGGGGGGCGGGGCTTGGGGCAGGATGCAAAGGAGGGGCATAGGTGGCTTTGTGCCCTGCTTCCCTCCTCCCCCGCCCCCAATCTTGGGGTCAACTTGAGGCCGGTTTAGCCTGCAGCAGAACTTAGAGCGGCCTCGGGACTGGGAGGCTGGGACTTCGTATGCTCTGGCTTGTGACGTGCTCTCTTCTCCTCTGGTCCCTAGTGTTCCAAGAGTTCATTAAAATGACTAACCATGACGTGGCGCACACCGTCCGGAAGCACATGTCTGGAGACGTGAGGGATGCCTTCGTGGCCATCGGTCAGTTCCCCGCTGTGTGCTCAGGGGGTAGCGGGGGCCCAGGATTCCACTGTGTACACTGGCCCAGTATGGGATGGTGCATGACCCTGTGGGGCTCTCTGCCATTGCCCACGGGGGTAGGGGGTAATAGGAGGCTATATAAGAAAAAGACCCAAAAATCGGGACTGTCCCTATAAAATCAGGACATCTGGTCAACCTAGCTGGCTCTGGGGCACCTCTTCTCTCCCTGGAGCTAATCCAACAGGATCAGAGCACTGTTTTGGTTTTTCCAATAGCGGACGTAGATATTCTCCCCCCTTGTGAAATGTGGGAAAGGAACGTCCCGTCGATGTCTATGGCGCTGCTCACATGCTCCTGCTATAAGTGTTTGGCTGGGTCGGGGCCATAGTGAGTTCAGTATACGCTCCAGTCCTGCGTTGCTGAAGTCGTGGAGAGTTTTGCAAGTGACCGCAGTGGGAACTTCGGAAGGGATTGTATTACTTAAATATTGGGATGGTATCGGGAAAGCTGTCTTTTAGTCTCTCTTGTTTTCTGTATGAAAGCCATGATCAGAATAATACTAGGGACAAACAAAAGAAAATCAGGGATTGGTTCTGGTCCATCTTCTCCATTCAGTGGAGATGAGGCAGCTGGATAATTCAGAGCCTGCTAATTACCTGCCTGGATTGGGGGGTGGGATGGATCCTTAATGATCTTAGAGAGCAGCCTAAGCTGTGAAGTTGGGATCTAGGGTGAAATCATAGCCCCACTGAAGTCAATGGGAGTTTTGCCATTGATTTCACTGGGTTTAGGTTTTCCCCTGGGTTTCTATCCCAGCCCCACTAACATTCAGGGAGGGTGGTTGCTCCCTCTGAAATACCCAAGCGGAGAGCAAACAGCGCTCCCAAGGCAAAAGCCGTTAGAAGGGCTGTGCTGTGGGGAATGATTCCCCCATGCCAGCCCCCACTGGGGTATCCTGGCGCCATACCACTATTGCTGGGGGTGTGGGGCAGCGCTGGTTGCTTGGTCCTTGGCAAGGTTTCCAGACTGCGTCTCTTCTCTCTCTGCTTGCAGTTCGGAGCGTCAAGGACAAGCCGGCTTTCTTTGCTGACAAGCTCTACGACTCCATGAAGGTGAAAACAGACTCTCTGTTTGGGGTTCCCATGGCCACCTGGCGCTCTTTGCATTTTTCAGCCTGGCTGGAGCGGAGGTGGCCCTGGAGCAGTGGCTGGTATTTTCCGTTCCGTGGGTTCTGGTGAAGCATCCGTCTGGCTGCTGCAGCTGCAATAGCTCTGCCCCGCATTATGTCCGACGACAGTGTCGCTGCTGCCACGCTTCCCTGGGCACGGAGATTTGGGAAACTCGTTTAATTTATCAGCTAGCGGCACGGTGGGAGGGGACCCCACCGTGCTCCCATCCTGCCCCTTTTGGTTATTGTACTTTCTCCCCACGTTGCCAGGGCATCGGCACCGATGAGAGAACCCTCACCAGGATCATGGTCTCCAGGAGCGAGATCGATCTGCTGAACATCAGGCGTGTGTTCAAGGAGATGCACGAGAAGTCGCTCCACCACATGATTGAGGTGAGGAGGGGGTGGGAACTTCCCTGTCACATCCCCACTGGGCGCTGTCCTTACCATTGACCAGGAGTGGGCCATGCTTTAAAGACGTGCCTCTTAGCTCGGCTTTTGCCCTTAAAGTTGACTGCAGGGGAGTGTCCTGGGCTCTTCTGAATCGCTGGCCATTAGTGTCACCATGGTGACTGCTGGGTGCTTTAGAAAGTCTGTTTCAGCTACTCCATCTGCCAGGGGATGCAGGATTGTGCCTGCTGGATGGTAACCAGCACTTTGTCCATTCACGCTTTAAATGTACCAGGCAGGCAGTGAACATTGTGAGTGAAAATTTCTAAGAGGCTTTTCCCCGTAACGTCTGGGCACCAACGGTATTGATCCCTGCCTTCCGCTGGAGGAGATCAAAATGCTTTAAGGGCCAGATTGCACTCCCCTTATTGCATTGTCACAAGAGTCTCCTCTCTGGCTTTTCATTTTTCTCTGGCGTTTGTTTCCTTCTTGCAGAAGGACACCTCCGGCGATTACTGTAAAGCTCTGCTGGCCATTTGCGGAGGGGACGACTAAGCTGCCCCGGGAGCCCTGTGAAAGCCCGTCCCTGTGTCTGAGCCATCACGTGCACACAGCCTAGATGTCACTGTCGCTTTTAGGGGGCTTCGGAGGACGTTCAGTTCCACTTGGAAGAAGATTCACCTTGTGCTAGAAAAACGTACCACAGAAGAGTGTAACATTGCAAGCAGTGCAGACCACCTGGGTGGTCTCGGGGTGGGGATTTTATGGGAGGGAGTGGGGGCGGGATTATTGCCTGAATTGGTGCAAGATGACTCGTATCCAAACGTGTCACTAACCCAGGAAGTTACTGTGATATAAGAAACGTTTTAAACCACAGAAATAAAACCTTCATGTTGCTGACCATGGAACGACTCCAGTTCGCTTATTGCAAGACCTTTGTGTGCGAGAGAGGCCATCTTCTCAGCTGCTTTGTGTAACGCTGAGTGCCGCCTAGTTCTGCTATCTGATCACACTGGCTGCTGCATGCTCTGCTCCCTTCACTCCCATGGGTATTTTCCGCGGGAAATCTGTCTTTTCTTTCCGGTGGAGTGGGAACGGAATACCCAGGGGAAATAGCGGGAATGGCATGTGCAAAAACCATCCAGGAACTTAATGGTTTAATTCCAAAATACAGAGCTATCAGGAGTTCTCCAAGTGCCATGTGACCCGGAGTCCACTCCAAGTGGAAACAGAAATCCAGTCCAGGATCTGTCTGAACTGGGAAGAGGTTGGTTAATTAAACGCATTGTTCATTCCCTGGCAATAGCCTATGTAAGCTTCCCTTTTCCTCTGTGAAAAATCTGGACTGGATTTCTGTACCTTTATGGAATGGACTGTGGTTACAATTCTGGATATCAGGTATTTGTGTGGATGTTGGTACAATAAAGCTGAAGTAAAAATCTGACCTTCCTGCCCTCACCTGTGATCCCATTCATGGTTTGATGTGCTTTACAAGCTGCTAATGGGGCATTCAAAGCACATGTGCCAAAACTGTAATATGCACCTAACAATTACTTATTTTAAAATTGCGTGGATACAAAAATGTGTATCTGCAGCCGATCCGCGATCCACAAAAATTCTCTGCGGATATCCTCAGATTTGCAGGGCTCTGCTTACTGTGGCCGGGCAGAGGCTCAGAGGCACCCCCTCTTCCCCGGCCAGAGCCGGGTCAGGGATTGCTGCTCGGGCAGCTGTGGGGAGCCAGTGAGGAGTCGCTGACCCTCCACCCGTCCTCAGCCGGGTGGGGAGCCTGGGGGGTGGGGACTGCTCTCAGCCCCCCCAATCCCCACACCATGGGCAGGTGGAGGGTCTGCCACGGCTCCTGGGAGGGGAGGGGTCTCGGGGAGGAAGAAGAAGGGAAGGGGAAGGGATCCACCCCTGTGAAGAGTGGACAGGTGAGGCCCCCCCCATTCCGGCACCACAGGTCACTGCTGCACGGTGACCTGCGGAGCTGCCTGGTGGCTGCTCGGGCCCCCCCGCACACGGCAGATGGAGGGTCCACCGCAGCTCTCCCCACAGCTGCCAGCCCAGCTATTCTCATGGCTGGGCTGTGGCTCCGAGCCCCCCGGCAAGAGCTGGGTCAGGGAGAGCCACGCTGGCAGCTGTGGGGAGCCGCTGCGGACCCTCCACCTGCCATCGGTAGGGGGCCCGTGTCCCTGCCCCCCCAGGACTCCCACCAAGTGCAGATGGAGGATCCGCGCCACGGTTCCTCACAGCTGCCTGCCCAGTTCTTACCGTCAGAGCCCTGCGCGGATGCAAAATTTGTATCCGCATCCGAGCGGCTATCCACCAAAATGGTCCACAGATACAAAGTGGATACTCGCGGATTTGCAGGGCTCTACAAAAGGGCATTTTCCAATGGAAAACTGTTCCATCAAAAAAAATGTGACCCACTCTCCTGGTACCTTACCATCCCCTGCCACCCCATGTACAACAAACAGGCAACCCAAGCAGAGGGACGACGTTGCAATGCAACGTCCCCAAAACACAGCTGGTTTGAGGGTGAGTCACTAACCTAGCAGCTGGCATTTACCCCATGTTGCTGCCATCCGTTGGGAAGAGCTGCGAGCATTTTGCAGGAGGATGTTTGAAAGGGGGCTAAAGATATTGTATGAAGGTCGATTCAGTGTTGGGCCTGTCGGCCTTGTGGGCAGGAGCAGGTTAGACTCAAGAATGGAGCAGGTCTTGTGGTTGCTCTGACCTACTCGCTCCTCCTCTCTGCTCATCGAGAATGTTCTAAGTAGGCATCTATTTGTGGAAGCTGTGAGGCAGTTACTGCTTTTAGTCACCGGGGGTGGGGGATGAATTCGGAGTAATTCCATTGACTTAGTGGAGATGTGACACCTCTGTCGGAAGAGGAATCCGGAGCAGCACGTCAAGTGTCTCTGTTCGCTTGGAAACAGGAAGGTTGGCAGCAACACGCAACTGCTGGCAAATGTGATGGTGAGCTACCACTGCCCTCTTGGGCACGGCATCCTTCTGTAACTCTAACTCCTGAGGGTGGGGCCTGTTTGTCTGCATATGCTAGGGCCCACCCCGAACTGCACAACTAGAGACAAGCTGCTTCCATTCACTGGCAAGCCAAGCATAGAGAGATGATCCCCAAAGGTCCAGGAGGTCTGTTTGTTTTGGCCCTGCGCTCAGAGGAGATTGCCCTAAACTCACTCTCCGCCACCTGCCAGAAATTCCAGCTGAACCTGACGCACCGAGACCAGCGTCTTTGTTTTCATGTGCGAGGAATTTCCCTGGGAGGGCGTGGCTATGAATTCAAGTCCTGGCTGCTCCCTGTTAAGTGGATGAGGACACCAAAGTCACTCAGTGATAGGAGGGAGAAATCCTCCTCGAAGGGGCTCTCTTTGCAACACCGATTCTCTGTCATCCCCCCTGCCACTGATGGTTTAGCCCCAGGGCATCCATCTATCCATCTAGGTCCTTATCTGGCCCTTACTGCTGTGGTAACGAAGCTCCACTAGCTATAGCTCCAGCAGAAACAAGCCATCATCATTGTAACCACCATGTTCACTAACCCTAACACCCCGAGCTCCATGTCTGCTCCCACTGTTATCAGTGCTAGTGGGGCTGCCCCAGCACTCACTGGTGGCAGAATTTCCGAAGAACCTCAGTGCAGACCTAGACCAGTCAATCCATGTCCCATCACTGTGGGAAACTCAGCAACCCCTAAAAGCATCCCAAGCCAGGAGGGAGCAATTCCTGATGGCCTGGAGAATGTCAGAGATGGGGTCCCCATCCCCCCCCTCCCAGAATAATAGGAGAGCTGTAGTGGTTTGGGGAACTCAAGCACAATCCTACAGGATTCATTCTGCATTTGGAGTATTTTCCCTCTTTATCCCGCCCCTCCGGTGCTTTGGGAAATAATAATCCAACTCTACCTTCTTCTCTACTTCCCAGGCAGCCCTCCGCCCCCGGAAATTGTCCTTGTTCATCATCATGGACGAGTGGGGAAGACTTTGGTGATGCAAGAGGGTTCCTGCTCCCTCTCCCGCTGACTGGAATGACGTTCCCAGCAGAGTGCAGCTATTTCTGCAGTGAGAAGTGCAACCAAAACCAAAAGTGCAGTAGCACCCACGTGAAACGAATGACAAGGAAATGAGGGAGTAACGACCTCTGGGCTCCAAGCTTTAAGACTGACTTCTTGTGCACCAAAAAGATAACTCGGTCACCGTGTAAACTACTGGCACTTTCTGCGGTGTGGGAAATTGGGGGTGGAGGGTGGGGAGAAGTGATCTTATTTAACTTCTGACCATCTTCTTGGTGCTGTGCAAGGCCTTAGAGAAGGAACAGGCTCTGCTGCATGGTGCTTGCAAGAGAAAGCAGGGTGGCATTGGGATGGCAAGTCACGTCTCTGGGTGATTTTAAAAGTGAAGGGTTAATTGAAGCAGCCTGAGCCAAGCATAGTGGTTCCCCTGCCCAGGGTTTAAATGCATCTTGATCCCCCCTCTGGCAGCACTTCTTGCTACTCTTGTTCTAGGTCCCTGTCTTGCAGCTCCGGCTATCCCGGTCCTGTGAGGCTCATGGCCAAGTCTGCGGGTGAGGGAGTGTGTGTGTGAGACCTTTACAAATGGAGATATTTGAAGGCGAGAGGCCTTGCATCCAGGCCATCTTCACCCATCTAGGATTTTAGCCCTGGTCTCCAGAGGAGAGCCGGGACTGTTCCTCCAGTACACCTCTCTCCCCCATCGTGCATTGGATCTGAGCCTGTTCTGAGCTCAGACTCCATGGGTTGAACTTTCCCAGCCTTGAAATCTTTCTCGGGACCTCACCTGACTAGGTTATGTGGTTCTGAAGGCAAACGGCGACCTCTGGTAATTCAATGGACACCTGTAACCAGGAAAGTGTCATCGGTCCTAGGTGGTATTTCCTCTCTCGCCTGTCACACCCCAAATAGCTTCTCCCCCCGCCTCCAGTAAGTACATGAAAAGGGCCATGTCAAACACAGAAATAAATGCAACAGGAAAGTTGTTCTAATGGTTTAAGAGCCACGGCGCTATAGAAGGAAGTGAGGGGGCGTAGAATAAAAAAAGGGAAGCGCCCGAAAGCTGACTCGTGGGTGAGATATGAATGCAGGTCTGGGTCTGCCCCCCCCCCCAAGGAAAACGAGGCCTTCGGTGTTCCCACAGGAAACTGCCTGCGAGGGCCAGGGGTTCATGTACTAGTACGAGACCAGAGAGGGCCAGACGCACACAGCTGCTTTGCATTCTGCTGCAGCATCGCTGCCAGTGAGGGATTGCTTCCAGGCAAAGCAAAATTGCATTTCATTAGTTGCAACACTCAGAAAAACCCCAAAGCCAGTGATTTGAGTCCCAAATGGATGAGCTTTCACTCTGAGTCAGTTCCCAGGACTATTTCAGGTCCTCTTTGCCACTGACAGACTCTGGGAGGTCTGGCGAATGTACTCGGCGTGAGGATGGCTCTGGGGCCTAGCCCTCTCCCTACATTCCATGCTGCGGCCTCATTACGCTGCTGTCTTCTGGCCAAAACCGACTGTGCTGCTTTGGAGAAATCTGAGTGCACTAAAACACCAGCAGGCTGGGTTTTTGAGCAGTGTTTTCAGTATGTTTCTCTGTACAAGGCGGGGAGTGAGTAGGTTATTTTTGTTTGTTTTTCTCTGGCTTTTCAGCCCTCCCAAACTAGACCATGGATAGGCAACCTATGGCACACGTGCCGAAGGCGGCACGCGAGCTGATTTTCAATGGCACTCACACTGCCCGGGTCCTGGTCACCTGTCCAGGGGGCTCTGCATTTTAATTCAATTTTAAATGAAGTTTCTTAAACATTTAAAAAACCTTATTTACTTTACATACAACAATAGTTTAGTTATATAATATAGACTTATAGAGAGAGACCT